AATTAACTGCTGTAAAGCCCATTGAACAGCCCATTTAAAATCCATAACATTAACAATTAATGTCGACTAGGTATATGGGCTGAATCGTAGTTAGCTGTTCGGCCCACACAACTTTTCTCACAAAAGTGGGCTTTTGCTGTTTTAACCATTTAAAACTGGGCTTTACAGGTGGGCCGAATTAATCCATGTAATTCAACATCAGATTTGGAACAACAAGTGTGAGAAAAATGATCTGAAAACAGTCCCCTTCGAACCCCAGATTCGGTCCAAATAGTTTTGGTCCAATCTAGTTCGAAATGGTCAAAAACTTATTTTCAATTCAAGAATTAATTCATGAAAGATCTGAAATTAATAATTTTGATTTTCAACAAACACAAATCAAATATGGACTGTTCGCACCACCTGCAAAATAGAGGTTAATCACTAGGGTTGCAGTTTCACAAACTACAAATCGCAGAAAGCGATTTCTCCATCTACAAATCTCCAACGCCGCCTTCTTCTTCCTTCTTCTTCAATCAACAAAATAAAAGAAACAGAAATCCTATTTCTATTAATTAATTACATTCTTGATCAAATCCTTTACATTCAGCCTAGAAAAAATAAAAAAAAAAAATTATTTACAGACCGAATTGAATAAAAAGGAAAAGGGGTGCGCAGACCATCTGCGCCAACTTTGCACTGCGATCTCCAGGTTCGAACAGTCCATTAAATCAAAATAATAAAGAACAATTTTAAATAAATTTTGGATTTAACAAAAATTAATTTCAGATCAATCGCCCTTAACAATAATCAGTTTCTTGAAATAAAGAAAACAATTTGCGCAAATCTTGGCAGAACATCTTCTGTCCATCTGCGCAAGTTCAGATCTAATTTTTCTTTTGGTTCAAGATTTGAACCTGTGGCTCTGATACCACTAAAAGAATGGTAGGATCCATCTATTGGATGCTAAAAAGGTTGCGGAATGGGTGGGGGAATTTCAAAAATTTTTCTACCTTCTTACAACTGGGAATCATATTCCCTAAATTCAGAATACAATATTCAATGATCCTACTTGAACCACAACCGAACCAGATCTGAACCAAAAGGGAAAGGGAGGAATTATACCTGATCCAGAGAAGCAGTATCTCCCAAAGTTGGTGTTCACGCCCAAAAATGACACCAAGATCCGCTCCTGCTGAAGATGACACAGCTGTATGTGGAACGGAACCAGCTGAGTGCGTCCTACACACTGGATCCTTCTCAAGAATCCTCTGGAAACTCTAAGCACCAAATCTTTTTCAGTCTTTTCTGCAAAGCTGATGTCAAGAAACAGTTTCTTGATTTCTCTCTTCTTCAAAGATCGAATCTTGTAAGAAAGGATGGCGGCAGTTGGAGGAGAACTCCTAGGACGAAGATGGCTGAAGAGCTTCTCTTCTCTTTGGACTCTGTATAAGATCTAATCTCAATTCGCATGATGCTTTGTTTCTTGAACCCTTGGTTCAAAAATCTCTTTTCTTTCTTAGGGTTTCTCCTCCTTTCTTCTTGCTTAAGAAACCTCCTAAATTAGGAGTTATCCCAATCCAAATCAGTATTTGGATAGGGGATTATCTTAATCCTATCCCCATATTAAGTTAGCTTACTCCTGATCTTATCAGAAGGTTACCAGATCCAAATCTATTTTCAATTTGGTCTCCCAGAGTGGATAAGGTTAAAGGCCTAAACCTTTTGCTAACATTAATCTCATATCCGCCCCATAGATGGGTGTTCAGTGCTTAACTAGTTTCCAATCTGCTGCCCAGTTAGGCTTCTTTGTATGGCGTGGGACCCAAGCATTGATCTACACACCAGCCACATGGGTTCGACCCAGCCTTTATTACAAGGTCCAGCCGAATTTACTGAAAAACTCAGTGAACCCCTGAGCCCATCACATGGACCCTATGGGCCCAACACTTACATTAAGTGGTCCCTGGGCCAAGCCATCTTATAAAAACCCAGGGACTGTGGGCAGGTGCAAGATTAGCCCATCAGGTACTATC